GCTGTTCGCACAGGCAGAATGTAGAATCTTTGTGGTGATTCCTCCGATTTTATTGGCTCTGAGAACATACTACAGTTACCGCATTCTCTTCTCGTTTTCGGATGTTAATATTGCAGAATTATTCAAAAAGAAACTTCGAGTAATCTATAGTTTTTGATTATTCAGGAATCTTTAATGGCTAATCCCCCATCGAAGAAAGTTCAGAAAATTTCTTTCCCTCCATGGAAGGGCGCTAAACAACGAGAAAGAAAGCATGAGGTACGAGTTGTTCATTATTCTTCTTATTCATTTTAGTATTATTCTTAGACTCGAATTTTATTCTTACTTTAACACGGTTGGCCCTCTTTTCCCGTAGGAAATAGTTCTTGTCAGTGTTCTGTTGTAGTGATCCCTGTGACATGGAGGACTGTTTGTTACTGTTTGTTGGTGCATCTAGTATCATTTGCCATTGATTTGTTTGTGCTGACACCAGCAACGTCTTCATACAAGAGTAGTTGAGTCGATTCTTCCTGCTAGGGACACGAAGTCCTTCATTCCTTTCGTTCAGAGCTTTCGTGAAGAAGTCTGACCATCGGGCCGGCGGTCGTCCAGGTGTTCGTTTGACGTCCCGATTGGATCCAGTCGGTAACCGCTCTGGTGCAACGGTTATCACAAAATCGCATGACGTGTTCGACCGTTGATGGTTCGAAACTCCTGTTGCGCATGCTCGTCTTCCTGCTAAAGTCCAAGTCTTCTGAGGCGTAGGTTAAGGGCAGGAAGGACTGCGGAATCGAAGAGGTGGGCACGGAGCCGGATGTTCTTCGTCTTCTTCACTACTCCCTCGATGTTCTTGAATGCTCCCCATGCCGCTCGTTTCCTCCTGCTCAGCTCTGGAGCTAGATCGTTCATCATATTGATTTTCCCGACCTAGGTACACGTAGCTGGAGCATTCGGTGATGTTCGTTCCGTTGAGCGTGAATGGAGGCATCAAGGACCAATCCGTTTCAAGTAAAGGTCTTTGGTCTGCAAACCGACCCAACAAGACGCAGTCGAAGTCATCCAACATTCGCTCCGCTTGCTCGATGTTCGGCGTTATAAGAACGATGTCGTCAGCAAAACGAAGGTGGTGTAGTTGCCGGCCGTCGACCTTCACTCCCATGTCTTCCCATTCCAGTTGACGCATGACGTTCTCGAGAGCGGCACTGAAGAGTTTGGGCGGGCTTACCCTTCTTTATAGGATGGCGATTGTATTTTGTCCTCATCAACGCTAATGGAGCTGCAGGACAAATTGAATGGACTGCAAATAGAAGCAGAAAAATAATATTGCAAATTCATTCAAATAAACAAAATGAATGAGAAAGCAGCAACGGAATAGTAGAGGGAAAGCAGATCAAGCAAGGAATCATACGTTTACCTTGGATAGTTAATCGATCTAGGGATAGTGGGATGCAGGAAGAAATTTGACAAACTCGAGCTGCTTGGTCAAGCGTTCTTAAATACCAAAACGTACTTGATGAGGGCCCCGATGTGAAAGATCAGGGTGAACAATCAATTTAATAATTTTGCCGCCCTTCCTAAGAATACAATAAGATTTTTCTGAAGAATACGTGTGGAATGCGAGATCTTTGCGAGACGATTTTTAGGTAGCTGTATCATTAGGTGACGCAGTGTAGGAGGCCAATAAAAATTTTTGTCCAGACTCAAATGGATTTAATCACACTTTGCTCAGCTCAAAGCGTGTGCTCCCAACATGGAATTTAAGAGTGCATTTCGTTTCATAAGAAAATCTTCACAGTGGCCATCTACGTGGACGGCATCGGAAAGGTTTGCCCCGGAAACATCTGGGGCCGTATGCTATCCTCCCCGAAGGGGTTGGGGACGAAAAGTCCTTTAAATTTTCTCTGTCTTCCCATCTGGGATTGCCCTGATAAAGGACCTACATTTAATGTATGTATGTAGGTTAAAGCAAACGTATGCACTGAAAATGAAGAAAAGAAATAAAAAAGGACCGCTAGAGGAGATCAGGCGCTTGTTCGATTAGATCGTGAATTTCAACCTTGAACCGCGTTTAGGCCTCAGAGAGACGACGATTTTGTCGAAACGTTAGGCCGATTGAATAAATGTTCCACCTATCAACCTCGAACGGCAGAAGAAACAAACACAGATAAGAACAATGAGAAACTATATCGTTCAAAACAAGTAAATTTAAAGAAACTTTGGATCACTTAGCTTCGGGGAAGCATAGCATACGGGCCCTGCTCTGGTCGAGCTCAATAGGGTTCTCGACTGGTCGTGTATTGTTGCGACAGGGTTCCAAAAGGGCAGGGGTTGCATGTTAGAGCTAATGTCCCTAGGAAACTATCCCACGTTGATCGATCCAAGAAATTATGTAAGAGCTTCAGGCTGAAGCAGTTACTGTAGGCCTCCCTGAGCTCGACGACGGTGACAGATGACGTCATATTCTGAAGACGGTGAGGGTAGTGAAGGAGAGGCCTGCGTGTACTTATAGAAGAGGGACATTTAGGGAATATTTTGCTGAGGAACTCTTCCGTCAACGACGGCAATCTCTGCGAAGAAATCGCGAAGAGGACCTGGGCAAAATATATTTTTTCTGCCCCCAACTGTATAGGAAGGATTATTACTCCTTCAGGAACATTTCAGTTGTAGAAGTGTGTGCGATGCGCCGAAAGATCATAAGTCATTGTAAACTGTCGATTAGCGATTTCAGTTCCCTTTTTTTCTTGTTCAAGGTAAGCCACTCAGATGATGGTACTTTCTTGAGCTGCGTTTGCTCAGTACCAAAATATCGAGGTAGTCATTCATGTTTATCGTGTTTTAGGTAACTCACGTGAAGCGCGAATCAAAGTTGGAAGATCTGAACATCGAAGATGGAACGTTTTCATGGACCACGTTCGCTAACCTTGTGAAACCTCAACTAGCTGCCATGGAGCCGAAAGCAAGGTTAACTTTATATTCAATTAATCTCTCATTTCCTCGGGTAAAAATTCTTTCTAATCAAGGTACGAGGCGGCAAAGAAGTTCTCGGATATCCTCCAAGGCGATCTCTCTGCTACCTCAGGAACTGTAGGTTAATTCTGGTGTGTAATTCATTCCGTGGTATTGCATAGTGGGTACCATTAGCTTCTGATCTTATGCATTACTTAAATCTCTTTCACAGATTTACCACTGTGTTTTATGATTATATTTCCTTTTTCGCTAAAAGCCACGCAGTAATAATTGTGAAGTGTTGTTGTGGTGGTTACATAATTCTGTGGTTATATCTAAATTGTTGTTTTATTTCAATATCATTAGATGGTCACGTGATTGTGTGAAAGTCAACAGACTTCTCGTCAATAAATGTTAAGTTCTTTCATCCTCTGGCCTACCTTTGGTACTTTTGCTCAGTGTATACAAGATGGCGAAAAATCACATGCGCGTGACATTTCGCTTCGTTTAAAACATTGTGTGTGCTTTTTCTTCTCGAACCGTCTATTGCTAGTTATTATTTGCAGAACAGAACATATGTTTTGACTAACCAGGAAGGTCTTTCAGGGCGTGACAAGCTTTTTGAAAACGGTCTTTTGCATGATATAGGGGCAGATGCGGGAACCACAGAACCATGTTCAATTTTTCCTGAACGGCCCTCTGAATACCAGAAAAGGAGGTCCCTAGTTCGATTCCTCGTGTAAAAATTTTTGCATTTCGAGTTGACGTGCCAAAATTCGCGCAAAATGGAGTTAGAACCAACAGAACAATCAGAACTTCTTGCGGTGACGTTGCCCTGCACATGCGCCAATGGAAACGAAAGCCAGGAGGCAAAGAGAACGGTGTGTGGCGTTCTCGCTGGGGTAGCGCACTAGTCACTATGGTAAGTAATGGAACTTGAAACCTAAAATCAGGGGTGTGCACCTTTTAAGTCTAAAATGCCATTTGGGGAGACCACAACTCGAAACCTACACTCACTGCCTGTGGAAGACGTAATTAAATGCGCTAGGCTGTTGGCGGACCTCTTCATCTCGTCAGACTCAGTAGCGATCACTTGATTAGTGAACTTCATACATAAACTCGTTTTCAAGCTACGGAACAAAAACAAAATAAAAAACGAAGCAAAAATAGAAAAAAAAAAACAAAAGCGCACTAGTAAAATTCAAAGGCGGTATATACCAAATTGTTGCGAAACAAGAGATAGAAATATTTTTAGAAGAACGTTTTAATCTCACATCTTTGTCGTAGATTGAAATCCATTTTGTGTTCTTGGCCTGACGTAGAAAACTGCACATTTGCATTTATGACCTAATGAATTTTGGTGAAACTTGATACGCCTTTTGAAGTGGATAAAAAATACAACAGCAATGATTTTCTACTGGCTAGAAATTCAAATGGGATTCTTAAACTTTTATATTGACACATTCTTGACTCATATCTCAGTTATTTTTCGGTATTGACTTGATTTCACATTTTTCGCTGTCTTTTTTGATTCTGTCAGTGTATCACCACTCACTAATATTTTTAGGTGGTTCATCTATCCTGGTCATTAGCATTCAGTGGCAATAAACTCAATCTCAACATTGCTCTACAACAAACTATCGGCCATTGATTCCATTTTGAGGAACATGAGATGAGATTTGCCACATTGTGCCGAGACTTATGAGGATCAGGGTCTATTATAACCTATCTGAAGATTCACTTCAACATTCGGAATTGGTGATTCTGAGTTCATACAAAAAACATCCCGGCCAACAGCAAAATTCCATGCTAATAATTTGCAAGCATCATGACGCTATTGGATGAATGATGAATTGGGATGAATGAGACTCAGAAAGTCCTGAAGTTGCTCTCCTGAAACTCATGCGACATGCAACATGCAAAGGGAAAGATTTAGAGATGAGAAAAATGGCTACTACACGAATATGTGGATTCCCTGCACATGGGCGGCTGCTCGCAATAGAGTCATTTTCTGAAGAAAAGTCTTGAGGAAACTCTTCTGGATGGGAAAACTTTCCAAACCAGTGTTATCAACGGAGTCTTGTGATAACTTCCTCATTATGTTGATGCAGCGCATCGTAGTAGAATGCCTCTGCGAGGTCAGCAGTCAGCGCAGTCAATTAAAGCAACAGTCCAGGCAGGGTTTCAACCATTTGGTTTTCAAGTGGTGGAAACATGCCTCAGCCTGATTGGAGTTCATGGGAAATGTCACAAACTTCAAAACTTACCTCTGAAAGGCGTTGGAAGCAGTCGAAATCCTTCAAGAGGGGCGGATCCACCGATCCGTGGTGGGGCCGCCTCCAAGCAGCTGTGCAGAGCGCTTGCTCGACTAGCGGTCGTTGCGGGACCGCCGCGCTGTATGAGGTCGATTCCATAAGAACGCAATTGAAGCGCTTCAATTTCGATTGCTGGCAAATAGTTATGTATTTGCAAGCATGCATGGCTATTTGCCAGCAGTTGCAATTGGAGCGCATGTACTACGGGCAGGTTCGGACAACTCGTCCAACACACGTCTCCCTAAACGGCAGGGGGAGTCCCTGTCTAAGCCCCTGCCCGACGTTTTTTTCTACTTTTTCTTTCTCCATTGACCAACTTCTCACCTGCAACGTCATTATAGGTGGTCCTTACCCGCGAATTCGTTCCTGGATTGTTGCTTTAAAGGTCCTCCCCACAGTGCGACTACTAGGAGGCAAATAAGGTAGCAGGTGCGAGGTAGTGATTAAGAGGTTATTTTTGACTAAAGTCCCTCTCCCTAAAATCAGCCCACCCCCATAATGGCGTCGCCCTCAAGTGAGGTTGTTGACAGTTACGGTATTGTTTCCATTATCCTTCGTTCTTTATTTTCTCTGAAGTACACTAATTTTGTCTGCAGAGTTACTTTGGCTGAACGGTTACTTTTCAACTATGAGCCCTAATCTCGTTCAAAATCGAAGTGCAGAGTAAAAGTCCGGTTTCGTTGTTTTTAGTGGTTTCCTCTGGTCTCTTCTTCACTGTTGCATTATTTGATACGTACTTCTACTTCGATATTTGGTCAATATCATATATCGTTATCGTAACCGCTGCTTTTAACGCACAAGTGCAATCTGAGGAAGAAAAAGGAACAGCCAAAAATCGCTATAAAGAAAGCCACTCTTCTACACAATGTTATTCAGCATACAAAGTACATTCAACAGTAGTTACAACTACATTCTATCATAGTAAAAGCTGACGCTTCTCTCATTTCCGATAGGGAGGCCGGCTTCGCCAGTTACATTTCCAGCAGCAGAGTACCAGGAGCCGAACGGATTTTGATCTCCGAACTTATCGACATGCTCAACTCCTTCTGGTGGATCATCTGAAATTTCAAGCATACTGAAAACAATAATGCAGCATCGTGCATGCAAAACTTCCAATGTAACATATCCTTGTAAAAAATTAGGAACTTCTAAAGGTGAGTTAGTTGGTGAAAATGAAATTCAGTGCATAACCATTGACGTGTCTTAATTTACTTCTTCTTTAGTATTCAGCCCACATATTTTATTCCACAGAATTTGTGATTTGAGTTGCTCAGTTTTTGGGGGAGTAAGCGGGATGGGAGTTTGAAATAACAACGAAAAACTGAAATAGGAATGACTCAATGGTAAGAAATCGCAAAACCAGTGAGGTTAGTTCAAGGCAGAGTTTCGCGATCAGGTCCTAAGAAAAATTCTCTTTGTGAATGAAGTAAGAGGGTTCCTAATCACAGAGGTCGTCACACCGTCGCGGTTTGAAAAGGCTCGATAAGGGCGCTAAGGCATTGCGTTGACTGCTGTAATCGCTGCCATGTTTACTCTTTAGCGGCATGTGATGTCTACGCGCTCTCTTATGACGGGATCTAGCGTGAATACCGGTTGACCTTGAACAAATGAGTCCTTTTTTAGTGTTTCTAGGTTCCTTTGCTTTTTTCGTCACTGACAGGCCTCTGATCACGGGCTGATGGTGAGCCTTTATGTTGATAGAGGGCAAAAAGCATTTCAATAAGTGCCGGTGAATGTTCTGATGCTAAAAGAACCGAGAAACAAAATGTCTTATTGCCTTCCGCTGATTTATACCACATACATCGGAGCTGAAAACTCACAGCAACTAAAGCGAAGTAAATCTGCTCTGATTGAAAGACTGGGCATATTTGGATAATTTCCATATGCTTAGTCATTCATTCAGAACACTTTCATTCAAGTTTTGTATAGGTATTAGTAATGAGCCATGGTTTTCAGTTACCAGGTGCCCTGTCTAGTCGTTTGCTGAAGTTGCAAAGAAGTAGCACATTTTCACCAACCTGCACTTTGCCATTTCCTTTCAGTGTTCTGACCGTACTGATTGAACAACACGCCAGCGTTGGCGCTGAATTCCGGCATCGTCAATATGTACCACAATGGCTGAAGTACGAGCACGACAGTGTAGAGTGATATTCTGAAATATCCTTGATTAGGGCATAATAATTTGACATCGCAAGATGTTTCGTCGGGATCGATCATCCTATTTAGTACTATAATTCGCGTCACGTTCGCCGTTCGCCGTTCGCCTGTCACAGTGTCTGTCACGAAATTCCTTACTTTTTGGGGATTCGGCCGGAGAGAAACGGTCAAGTGTGGGATAGGTGGGCCATATCTCGAGAAGTAAAAAACATACATCAGCCCAGCAGGCGTAGCAGGCATTGCAATGAAAGCATTGACGAAACAAAATTTTATTTTCATTCCAAAGCAGCCAAGAGAAAAGGGAAAATGACCAAAGGTGTGCATCATTGAGCCAGAACGAATTAGAGAAGCTCGCCGTCGGTGAGCGCGGCTTTCTCTAGAAAAGCGGTGGTTAATGAGAAAATTTATGTCTCAATTTGGAGAAAGTCTGCTTGCAGCCCGCTGCATTAACATCGTAAAAATTTTGGCCTCGACGGTTCCATTAAAATCACTAATCACGCCATCCATAAAGGTTGTTGTTTACTTCTGATACTCGTTCAACTTTCATATTTATGGCAATAGATAGGAACCGAAGAGTGAATCGAACTAAAAATCTCATAAGGTTAAGAGGACCCATCCTGTAAACAAAGCGTGTCTAAGCTTTGCTTGGACCATATCCTTTATCATTATCCTTTGGCCCTGGTTATTTTGGTGATATCGAAAATATTTCAAAAACTAATGGAATGATCAAACGGCATGCGATTATAATTGGCAGGCCATATGGGCTGCCATCGCTCCACGAACCACCCGTCTCTGGCAGCCCATATGGGCTGCCGCCAGCGTGAATATGTTAAGCAGAGGGTACGATAACTTTCTGTCGATCAAATATGAAAACAGAGGTGCAAGATAGTGCGGCAGTGTGCCTTGAAAGAATACAAGGGACAACAAGACAGACCTTTAGCAATTTCGGACATAGCATAAACTACTTTCGAACTATATCAGTAAAACCGCAATTAGGTAGTAAGAATGCTTTACAGCGGAACAACCTCCTCCCATCTTTGTCCAACCTCTGTATATACCTGTCTTCCTTTATAGTAGCCAGAATTCTACTAAAGCCTCCAATTTGTCGCACCATCTGCCTTGAAGGCATTGCCCAGGTAGAAGTCTTGAAATTTTTACTTCTGACTGTAGGGTAGGCTCCCGGAGAACAATTACAGACGTGGCACTCCCGTACGTGGAAATCGCTCGACAAGGGCGCTAGAGCCTTCCCAAGCATAGCGCATTCGTTTCCTTACTCATTTGGGAGGTTTACTCGAAGGCCTGCGCACTCATACGGGAAGACGAATTGCACATTAACTTTTTAGACCTGACGCACTAGACGCGAGTACAAATTGCCATTAACTTTTTGCCCTATATAATGATAATCAATAAGGCTGGAACGGAAGTTCCTGAAGATATAATCATGTGAATCTCATTTCATGTATTTGCACGAATGAGTGTCACTCTATGCAGCTACCTACTTCTTATGGTACGAACCTGACCATCACATCCTTGAGGTCCTTCAGTTGTGTGTGCTCGGGTGAACCATAATTGAGCAACAGAGGCATGTGAACAGCGACTCCCATCAAGAAACATCGCAAGAGAGAAGCGAACAAACATGACATTATATAAAACAACACATGTTTGATGACGTTTGCAAACTAAGACTACTGAAAAGAACCATAACTAGACTAAGCGTGAAAAAATTGTCACAACTCATTAACGACAATTAGATCGCCATCGCTGTCTTATACAAGTCAAAGCACTAACACGTACAAAGAACAGCCGCTGATGCATCCAATTCCTAAAGGCAGATATAGCCATGGCATAAGTCTGCAAACTCACTTCTATTAAGATATGCAAGCTAACGTCTAGCCAGCAGCAAGCAAAGCAAAAGGATAAGAGAATGAAGAAAACAACGTGACTGCAGTACTTCTTTCTTAAGATGTATGTGGATTTATGTTTTGGATTAGGTCAAAAGAACTGGAAAGAAAAATGAACGGAGTAATGGGAATGTCTGATTACCGGGATGTGCAAAAAACAATGCGCTTAGGAAAGAGCGAATGTTGCACGGACAACGAACTAGTAGAATTCCGTCCGTGACCACTTTCCGCAGGCATTGGATCTAGGTGGGGGAAACGACATAGCAGAAGCTTGCTGGATGCTGATAATCATCGTCGTTCGATTTAGCTCTTGGAGCAGTATTCTAGCTCATGTGGTCGTATCCTCTACGTGTCTATCTCGGAAATCTACAATTTATTTAATTATTTATTTGAATAACATGTTGTGAACAACATGTGGACGCAGATATAACGTACAAGCAGAATAGAGGTTCCTCGGAGGGTTTGAGCCTTCGTCTGCTTTACTTTGAATCATATTGTTTCATCAACTAGGTTACTGGGCATACCTATCATCTCAACGGTAACGTCGTATCGTACCTATCTTATCTTTATCCAATGTTCTCAAATGGCAGCGTCGCGATGATTCTTGATCGATGGGAGGTCTTTCAGGTGGTCCCGCGCTTTCTCAAAACGGTTTTTTGCATGATGTAGAGGGACGTGCATGGAGTACAGAACTGTAGTCCATTTCCGCTAAATGGCTCTCTGAATGCCAAAAAAGGAGCGAAAATGATTTTGTCTGAAACTGCAGTTTTTACGCATTCAACGTGGTTTGTCTCGTTCATGGCGTGAACTGCTCGCATAATGAAGGGCTCTCGCAACCTCTGTATCGGAAACAACGCGAAGTTTGGCCAAAATTGGGAAGTTGTTGTAGTGATGTCATGTTATGTACTGAAAAGCTCGGGAAAGTTTCATTAGTGCATTTAGGTTTTCGACTGCCGGCAGCGTCGGTGGTCTAGTGGTTAGCGAAGTGGGCTTCAATTGGAACGGTCGGACGGGGTTTGTGGTTCGGATCCTTGGGGCGTGAAAATTTTTGCATTTCTTGTTGGCACTTCCAGATTGACTCCTAGTTGCATATAAGCTAGAATAGATATATTATTCATGATAAGAAGCATAGGTGACCACAGTAAGGAAGGATTCCCTCGCAATTTGTCGAGAAAAAATGGTGGCGTCACAGTGGCACTCTAAAGCGCCCACATCACAAAGGAATGTCGCGCTTTTGATCAGCGCACTGCACAACCCTTGAGTTCAGAATGACGAGATTTTTTTTCAATTTTTTTTGATGTGTTCATTTTCCCATTTATTGCAGCAAATAATCAACAGACATGGTACAGCTCTACAAAACAAGTAAAAACGCTACATTAGGCGTAATACACGATCACGTGATCCATCACTACCCCGATTTCGCCTTCACTAGGGACAACATTTTGAAAGTAAGAACTTTTTGTCAGCAAATTTGATTTCCACTGACTAATTCCTCTGCAGGTCGTCAGTCAGACATACCGGCAATTCTGCGCTCCAGTATTCCGTCCGTGCCTAGCATACGCGTGGGTAGCTGCTGGGTATGTGGACGAACACCCAGGACCATTTACAACGCCCACCGATTATGGTTTCAACGAAGGCGAAGTAGCTGTTTTATGCCAAGGAATCAGTAGCTGCTCTTCTTGGGCATTCGTCAGATGCAGTTGGTGCAACAGGCACCTATGCTTTACTTGTTTTGTAGAGCTGTACCATGTCTGTTGATTATTTGCTGCAATAAATGGGAAAATGAACACATCAAAAAAAATTGAAAAAAAATCTCGTCATTCTGAACTCAAGGGTTGTGCAGTGCGCTGATCAAAAGCGCGACATTCCTTTGTGATGTGGGCGCTTTAGAGTGCCACTGTGACGCCACCATTTTTTCTCGACAAATTGCGAGGGAATCCTTCCTTACTGTGGTCACCTATGCTTCTTATCATGAATAATATATCTATTCTAGCTTATATGCAACTAGGAGTCAATCTGGAAGTGCCAACAAGAAATGCAAAAATTTTCACGCCCCAAGGATCCGAACCACAAACCCCGTCCGACCGTTCCAATTGAAGCCCACTTCGCTAACCACTAGACCACCGACGCTGCCGGCAGTCGAAAACCTAAATGCACTAATGAAACTTTCCCGAGCTTTTCAGTACATAACATGACATCACTACAACAACTTCCCAATTTTGGCCAAACTTCGCGTTGTTTCCGATACAGAGGTTGCGAGAGCCCTTCATTATGCGAGCAGTTCACGCCATGAACGAGACAAACCACGTTGAATGCGTAAAAACTGCAGTTTCAGACAAAATCATTTTCGCTCCTTTTTTGGCATTCAGAGAGCCATTTAGCGGAAATGGACTACAGTTCTGTACTCCATGCACGTCCCTCTACATCATGCAAAAAACCGTTTTGAGAAAGCGCGGGACCACCTGAAAGACCTCCCTCGTTAGAGACGCAGCAACTTTGAGCACGCCTTATGGTTGAAATGATCGTTAAGGAAAAAAAAGGATTCCTAACCATTTCACAGCCTGCAGAGAGGTTTGGGGCAAAATTCTTACACCTTCTATACTTGCCAATTCGACCGCCTTTTCTACCGACAGGGAAAATGGTCCATTCCGAATATAGCGCGGAGAAATTTTTTCAAAGCGATGGTACTCATCTGGTTCCCCCCTTTTCTCACACTACTGTCCGTAAGATCTGCCGATAACCACGCCAATGCCTCTTCGTAGTAACGCATACCAAAGAGCACAGGGCAGAAGCCACTCTAGCTCCCAACAAAACTTCACTCATGGACTAGTTTTGGGACAAAAGCAGTGGAAGTATTGAATTTCTAATAAAAAAAGACTGCTAAAAATGTTCAAAATGCGGGAGAGTTGAGGAATTCACTGATTAACAATGATGCTAACACGTACTTCGCAACGCCTTCTATTGGAATCGGTTCCTTTTTCTCCTGTTCTGCTCTACTACTCGGCTGAAGGACCGGAGAAGTAGCCAGAAATCGTTGACTTTTATTGCCGATTTGAGTTCGCATAGTGAGCGTTCTAGGACAAATGGCCGTCGATGAGCATTCGCCCATTCTGCTTCGCATATTCTACGTTTCGTAGATTCTCTAGAAAGACTGACTTATTTGTCTGGTTGCAGTATGCATAAGTGGCTCGTTCAATTGCTGGCGTATTTTTTGTATGATCGCGACGCCGCGCGAGTGCATCAGTGGAACGGTGAAGCGTTTGGCGAAGCTAGCGTCACGTATGCCAAGCCGATTCGAACATCTTAAGAGGAAGGAAAGTGCAGGATAAAGAAATAATTACGCTGGATTACTAGGACGCGCTCCGCTCACGATTTATGCCGGATTCCCACCGTATGATATGAGCCGGCTCAGAGCGTTTATCAGGTATGCCATGACTCAATTCTTGAACAGGCTCCATTTGTACTTAGCAAGGGACATAGGCACCGATGATGGACGTGCAGAAGTCAAGTGTGATTGGATAATCTTACTTTCACGATTACTCACAATCTCGCAGGCTTAACACAACACATGTGTGAATGAGAAGGTTGCGCCCTTCAGCTGAAAAGGGCAACCCTAGCAGACATCGTGTGGTCGATTCCCCTCGGTCTATAGGATATAGTCCCAGACGAAAGTCACAGATGTGGCACTCCTGTGGGTGGAAATCGCCGACAAGGCGCTAGGGCCTTGCAAAGTTAGCTGCAGCAGCTGCAATGTTCCCCTTCAGGCTGTTGTCTGGCGCCTCTCATCTGTTGCGCTCTCTCGCCTCATACTCTCCTCTCCGCGCTCAGTCTCTCATTGCCCAAGCACAGCCGATTACGAAGGTGAGTTGGTCTTCAAACTTCGAGTTATTTAAAGGACGAATTTACGATGGAAAAGCAACCCATTCCAAATTGAGGTAGAGATGGTGAGTAGTACCAGAAAGAAAGCGAAACCACGAAAAACGGCCCAGAACCGGAGAAATGGGACCCCTTCCTTGTCCGTTGATTTGAGCATTGATGGGACTCTCATCGCTTTGCCCTCTTCAACCCTACGCTCTCTCAGCTATCTAATCACTCGCCACCTATTGTACTACGGCGAGTGATCAGACGATCGGTGGGCGGAGATCGCCGAACTCGCCAACTTTGAGCCATGCTAGATCTCAGAGGTCAAATCTTTCGATGCCGATTGCGTGTCTGTCCGCACCCTCAAGAGATTCACCGCTCTCCCCACTAGGCGATTTCTCCCTTCTTCGACCTTCGTTCTTTCCGTGCAATCCTCCTTTAAAGTTGTCCAACTAAAGAATTTCATCAAAAACTTTCTTTTTTTCTTTACTGATGCCCATTTCACACCAGACTTTTACATGTTACCTGTCCAAAGCAGACAGCCTGATCCTGGGCCAGAGGCCCATACCACATTCCCTGCTCAGGATCGCGGCTAGGTGCTGTAAGATATCGGGGTTTGCAGCACACCATGTACTACCCATTGCAGCCCTACCGCCCATTTGCGGTGGCTGTCGAATTCAGGTAATCGCAGCGACTCATAAAAATATCTCATATAGAATATAAAATATAAAAGCGACGTACCTATGGATAGTGCGATCCTCGAGGAACTTCAACCAGGGTCAACCGTTACGTTGGACCGATATTGGAGCGACGTTGGACCGATGTTCACCGCTCTCCGCGCC